TTTCTCGGATTCAATTGATTTGTTGTTCTCTAGAAGCACCCATATATTTTTTTTTTTTCAAAAAGAACATAAAACAGTGCTCAGTTTAGCAGATACAAAATCAAAAGAACAATGATTATATGTTTAAGAAATGAAATCACCTGCACTTGGGAGACAATCAACATAAATCACCCGAAACCCTCATCCCCATTTGTATCGCGGAGATAATTTCTCCTTCGACATTTTTTGTGTGTGTGTTTTGGGGAAGATATATGGACCAACACATAAAAAACTCAATAGTAAATACAATGAGTTTTTAAAACACTTTGACTATAAACTCAAAGTTTTCCGTTTCATAGATAACTCTTTTTCAGTGATATGTTGCTTTGAATATATCTTTCAAACATTAATCTTTATACAATTTAGTACTTTTAATTCATTAATTTAGTTGCCCATATGATTATGTTTTTGTCCCCAAAATTGAGATAATTTTTATAAATTAGAAAAAAAGTAAATAGATAGTTTTGAAACTCAATAAAATTTAAAAAATACTACGTTATATACTTGATTTTCCGAAATAAACTAATGGGTAGTTGATTATTGTTTGCTTGATTTTGTACCTATATTCTTTTTTGGCTCACTTTTATCTATATTCAGAAGTTCGATTTTTTTTACTAAAAGAAAATTACTTCGTATATAATGTGTCATCATTGATTTTTGTACTTGCTAGTTTCCGATTCTGAAAGACCATTATTTTTTTTTCATTTTGTCATATTATTCTTTGAGAACTCCATTTTAAGTTGATAAAAACTGTCTATTTTCAAAATCGGAGAATAAAAAAAAGATATTGAATTTATATATGTGTATACATTTTTAGAAAGATATATTTGTGTTGTGTATCAAATCCAAGCCAGATCTAATTATCTCTCTAATTTTTTATATTTTCTCCAACATTGACTAATATTTACAATTATTTGATAAGTAAATTTCTTGATTTGTCATGTCTTCCATAATTTTAGGTTTAATTATATTTTATGCACAACTAATTTTAATAAATAAATTTAGTGATTTATCTGATACTTTATCATTTTCAGAATATTAAAAAAACTATAAGGATAATATAAAAATTAAATTTATATTAATTTATTTTAGTAATATTCAAATATTTTTGAATTTTATATTATATTAGGTTTAGTGATATTAAACCGATTCTATTTTTTAAAATAATTTTTATAGGATAACAAAAATCATTCATTGTGACAATTTCTGGAAAGAAATTGCCAAAGAATTCAAAAATATTTCTATTATTGTTGCAAAGTGATTTTTTGCTCTCAATTAGAAGTTAGAGTGTTTAAAGTTTGTTAAAAAAACATACATAAAAAAACAAATTTCATTAATTTAATAATCATCATTATCTAAAAATATTATGTATTATGTTAACCAAAAATATTTTACATCATAATATTTTACAAATAAATATATGTATCAATGTATATATATTTTATGTATCTACATATGAATGTTTTCAAGTTTATTTTAAATAATAAAATATATTTTTTAAACATAATAAAACTTTGTCATATATAAAAAGATTGATATTTAATTAATTAGTAAATATTACAAAAGCATGAAATAATTATTCTAATATTTTTGAATTGATAATATAATTATTTATAAAATTATTAAACCTACCAAACACCTAAATGCTGATCATTATTTTCATGTGGTAATTCTTAGTAAAACACATAATTGTTCGATTATAGTAACCGATTAGAGTCGGACCCGCCCTACTGGCGGGTAAGCTAATGAACGAAACAATATAAATATATTTTATTTAGATAAACAATATAAATATTTTTTAAATTTTAATAAACTTTTAGTTTATTATAAATTTCATTTTTACTGTTTCTTCTTTTTTAGATATTCTATATTTGTTTTTATATTATAATATTTAATTAAAAATATAAATATGTTACTTTTTCACAATATTTGCTTTTCTTGAATTGAATAGATTTTTAATATATTTAAAATAAATTTGTTTTACAAATATAAGCAAGACAAATTAAAATATGATATTAACTAAGGCAATTTGTTCCAATATATTTTATTTTAACATTTGTATTTATTTTAAATGATATTAATTAGTAAGATACGGAAGGGATACAGATTTGGATCCGGGGCGATTGCACCGTTTATCTCCCATATCAGCCGGCCATGAATCCACTGAACTATAACCTTATGCTAGATTTCCATGAATTAAAAGTTATAAAATTATTTCTCCAAGAATCAATACTTCGAAAAGAATCAATACTTCGAAACTTAATTCCTTAAAACGATAATCAGTTTATTTTTTAACCAAACATTTTAATGACATTTTAAACAATTTTAGTCAAGCGAATACTAGGGATAGCTACTGAAGGGGGTGAGGGTACGTACCTTGGACTGCCAGAGAATTTCAGTGGTATCAAGGTAAAAATTCTCAACTACACAAAGGAAAAAACTGTAGGGTAGACTTAATGGTTGGTTTGCTAAATCACTAACTCAAGGAGGCAAGAAAGTCTTACTCAAGTTTGTTGCTCTTGCCTTACCAGTCTATGCCATGTCTTGTTCTCGCTTCTCCAAAGATCTATGCTCAAAGCTTACCAGCGCTATGATTGAATTCTGGTGGAGCTGGAAACAGCAGAATCAAAATACCATGGGTTTTTGGAAAAAAACTATGTAAAAAGAAAGAGATGGGCGGCCTTGGCTTCCATGATATATAGCTCCATAACCAAGCTCTTTTAGGGAAACAAGCCTGGAGGATTTGAAACCAGCTGGACCTCTTACTATTGATAATCTTGAAGGAAAGGTATTTTCGGAACTCTAATTTTATTAACTGTAGTATCGGAATGAGACCATCGTATGCATGAAGGAGCATAATGCATGGCAGAGATCTTCTGAAAAAAGGATTAATCATAGTCATTGGTAATGGGCAGAGTACTAATGTATGGTCTGAAAATTGGGTGATGGATTCACTCCCCAGGCCGCCACATTATCATCCTACAAACCCCATTGATCTCTCTCAAAGTCTCTGATCTCCTTATAGAGCAAACTGGCTCTGGAATACATCTTCGTTGAGATTAACCTTTGAGGAACATGACGTTCAGCATATCATGTCTATCCTAGTGAAACCCTCTTATTCTGACAAACAGCGATGGGGCTTCACTTCCTTTGGCTCTTACACCACGCAAAGTGGTTACAGGTTGCTACAAGACATCAGAGATCTCCAAGGACCAAGTACTACTGCTCTATCTCCTCTAAAACTCGACTCTGGAGTAACCTATGGAGTAACCTATTAACCTCTGGAGTAACTCGACTCTATGATATTTAAACGCCGTATCTTTTAAACTAAATTTCAGTTCAGGTTTAATTTTGGTTCAGGTTTATAAATCCAAAAACTGAACCAAAAAACAGCTATCAGGATCAAAAATTACAAAAACCCGAACGGTTCCTACTTTTCTAAACCCAGAAACCGAGACTAACTGTTGTTGTTTTCGGTTCATGCTAACAAAACAGCAGGAGTTCTCAAGAGCTGAAGCGAGACATTCACCACCACAAAGATACAAAGACTTCCAAAAGCATACAAACTAAATCTTATATCTATAAAATAAACCCACAAGCTCTACATGCGTATAATGTTATTATGTATCGAACTCAAGAATTGGAGAAAGGAGAAACAACAACAAAGCCTATGAAAAGATCACTGAGAAAAGACAAAAGAGGATGCACACCCAAAAAGACCTCACAATACAAAATGAGTGCATAAAGAATGCTAAAATTGCAGACCAATCTCACTTAACACAGGGACACAGGCATCAAAATTAAGCTCATTCTTGATCTGCCTCTGAACGCCGTCTCACATCTTCAAATTTTACTATTGCATATCAAAGATGATTTTTACATCGTACAAATGTAAGTGTTGTCTTACCAGGTTTGAATCAAAGTAAGCCCGATCATTAGCATCCACAGCTGGGCTAGGCGGTTGAGTTAAAGGTGAAGCTGGTACTGGCACCGCTGGAACCAGAGCTCGAGAGCCCATTGGAATGGCGATTATTTGTTCTTTTATAAGTTTTTTTTTTTTTTGAATTGAATGTTAAATTTAATTCAAAAGAAAAAACACTGTTACAATTTTGTTCTTTTTTAAGCTTTTATACAAATTTCAAAGTAGTCTAACTTCTCTTCAAATCTTCTCAACCACCTTCAAATGGAAACTCAACCTTCTCAAACATGTCTAGCTCTCACTCCTATTAGACACCCAGCTCTCACTCCTACTGGTCTCCAGCTCTCACTCCTACTGGGCATTCCAGCTCTCACTCCTACTGGATAACAAGAACTCTCGCCTAAACCAAAACAATCCAGAAGCTTTTATAAGTTTTTCCAACCTGCAGAAAAGGTAAAGTCAGCAAATTATGCAACGGAAGAGTTAAGTTCTTATCATGAATAGTTGCAAGAGACAATATCATACTCAAATGTAGGGGTTGAATCTCCAGACGCTACTGTTAACCGCAGTTGGGTTCTGTCCGCTGGGTCTGTTTCAATTCTTGCCTGCAAATGTAGAAAAAAATACAAACATATTGAGATAGAGAAAAAAAAAACTCAGCTTGGAATTCCGAGAAAACTACAAAGTCGCTCACCAAACAGAGCATGGCTCTTGTGTTTTCGGAGTAAAGGGTTGTGCTTGCCACTAATATATCATTATGGCCAACTAATAGATGATCCACCACAAACAGTATACAAAGTTCTAGCTACGCTTTACAAGAAGGAAACAATTGTAAAAAACTCACCAAGCCTAGATGGGTTTTATCACCAAAACCATAAGTGGTGCTCTGTTTGTCACAATCACCTTGTTATATCCCACTCTCGTTCGTTCTTTGTAAAGGCATTTGTATTCCTTTTCCAACCTTTTATTCCCCGATTTAATTTCCTAAACACTAGTAGAATTAAAAATTAAACAGTTATAATGACCATGCAATAATACCAATATAAATGCAATTGAATAATACCTTTAAGCGATCAACACATAATGAAAGTTTTCTCGAGATTGTTTAATATTCCCGCTCCACCAACCAGGAAACAAATTCAATCATAGGAAATGCATCTATATGGATGCTAACAACGATGACATGTCTACAAACCGACAAAATTTACACTTTGACACAAGAGGCTAAAACGTAGAAATCGTGAATTTTCTTCTTTGTCTTGAGTTGGGTTCGATTTTGTCAGTAATGTCGAAAAGATTCGAGTTTAGAGTATACTAGTACATATCCCAAGTCCAGAAACTCCAGCAGTCTCCACGATTGATCCCTTATTTGTTTCAACAAAGTAGCAGACCTTCTTCCGAGCAGCATCAAGATCAAGAGCCAGATCACAAACATCTATGGTCTTTTCCAGGGTATCATGTGGCAACAGTTTCCCTTTTGAGGTTAAAGCAGTAAACGAAACAGCCATGACAGTAGCAGGTTGAAGAAGGCCTTGTAGATCAACTTGTGTTAAATCCATATCACTGCCAATTTTTTTCACAACACGGGCATAATCGATTGGGTGTTGCACCAGTGACTCTAGCTCTGGGAACTGAAGTCTGTACTTGCCACGGATAAAGTGGTGGAACATGACTATCTCCTTGTTAATCTCCAAGACGAGTTGATTGCAACCCATAATTAGATTGTACTCGGAATAGTTTTCGAGGGCTTTTTCCACTTTCTGCATTGTATGGGCATATCTCCGATGGAGATCATCATAGCTAATAGTCTCCATGTCCATGTCAACAACACTCACCAATTCTGCTTCAAGAGTTGCCTACGACAGATGCAACATATTTAGTTAGCAAGTTTAAGTTTCCCATAGGAAAAAAAAATCATGTGCAAATACACCATCCCGTAGAAAGCATTAAGCATCACAAATGTTTAGACACAAACATAAAGCAATAGCAGAAAAAAATTTCAAACAAAAAAAGGCAGTACTTAACATATAGTTAGTGAAACTATGCCAATGGTGAATCAAAACAACGCTCATTGGTAAAGTTTTAAGATTAATAAACGTAACAAAAAAATTAGCGAGAAGAAGACGATTCTTGAGAGAGGATACTTAAACACTTACCATATCTTCTACTTGGAACGCAATAGCTTACTGTCCCTGCAATTGAACGAAAATAAAATCTTTTTTTCGGGAACCCTAACCGAGATAATAAAGCTTTGGAATACTATATATTTGATTGGTCGATAGTTTTTCATTTTTTTTATTTAATTAAAGTTTTTAAAAGGAAATTAATCATAAAATTACTCAATTTAATCTATATTTCTAAACATACAATTAAACATCTTAAATATAGTTAAACTAATATATTTTATTTATATAAACTATTAAATATCATAGAGTACATTATATAAACTGATGATATACATATGATACTACATAAACAATTAGAAAATTGTTTTTAATATATTTATACTATTATCGAATACAATAAATCATAGATCTCAGAAAAATAATTAATCTAAACCTAATAATATGAATTAAACTTACTCATTCACTATATTTTAAAAATGTGTCAAATGAATACAAAACAATAAAATATAATTTGAAGGTATTCCAATCATTTTTCAATGAAAATGTGATGACATAGATGAGTTAGTATTTTTAGAAAGGATTAAAATATTTAATAATTTAAAATATAAAAATTATATTTTAAGTAATTTAAATCCTCATCCTACTTTCTACTATATATTAATTGAGAAGTCAATTTATTGATTTTTGCTTAGACGTCACTCATAGATGAAATTTATAATAATTCTCTTAATTTTAGTGGTTGTCGGAATTTGAATTTTCATTTATTTAATTCAAGTTTTGAAAAGGAAACTTAATAAAATTACCTAATCTAATATATGTTACCAAATAAATAATCAAATATTAAATTTAAACGAATTAACATAATTTATTTATTTAAACAATTGGTTATCATAATATATCTCTTCAATTAATTATTTTAATTTGATTGGTTGGTGATTTTTTTATTTTTTCATTTCAGAAAAATATAAACAAACAATTTCAATTTTTTTATTTATTCATTTATTTAATTCAAGTTTTGAAGTTACTTTTTAATCAAAAATCCGTAAAAAACTATGTCAATTGTAAAAATGGATAAAACGATTCTATACGTATTTAAAAACAATCCGTTTAAGAACCTTTGTAAACAACTTTCTTTTGCATGTTAAAAAGATAACTAAAAGTAAAATAAATTAGTAGCTAACATAATAATATTTTATTTTTGACTTACAAAACTATATCGATAAGAACACTGTGTTTAGCTGTTTTCATTTATCAGAATCATTTATCATAATGTTTATAAACTTTTTAACATCTGGGATTTATATATATATATATATATATATATATATATATTATAATATGAAAGTTCTTATTATCTATTAAATACAGACACTATTACTATGAATACATATTAATGTATAAACTAATAGAAGCTAAATCTTACAAAGAAATATTATTAAAGTAATGGGAATTCACATATATATAGTTTTGTTACTTTTCAATAATCTTTATATATATACTTTAATTTTAAGAGTGGATTTATTTTTTACATAATTTATATTTTTAGATTTTCATAAACTTTACCTGAAAACATTGATCTACAAACCAATTAATATATGTACATATATATGGTTTGGGTGTGAATGTTAAAAATGAAATTACATTCTTAATGGACTAAAATCCTAATCAGTTACATATAGTTATTAACTAAAAATTAATGGAATATTAAAAATATTATTTATACTTTTAAAATTTAAACAAATAACCAAAATAAATAAAATATCTAAAATCTGTTCATTTTAAAAAGATTTATCAAAAATTCACAGTAAACATGAAACAATAAAATATATTATAACATGTCAAAGATATAATAATATTACATTATATTTTAAAATTATTTGTACTCATAAATTTGCGGTTAACCACCTAGTACCAACTAAATAGTGCTCTATATCCAGAGCCGGATCACATAGTTGGACCACTTTTGGTTGGCCTTGTTCCCTATCAAACATTGGATATGGACTGCTGAAAATACCGTTTAGGGGGAACATAATTTCGCCCATCAAACTTATTTACACTAGGGTTGGGAATTCGGTCCCAATCAGATTTCGGTAAGGGTATCCATTTAAGTTCGGGTTTAAGTGGGATAAAATCCAAAACTCGAAATACCGTAAAAAAATATTCATTAGGTACTTATGTCGGGTTCAGATCGGTTGGATTCATTTTTATTGGGTCGGGTTTAGTTCAGATTTTTGGATTCACTGGGTACTTATGTCGGGTTCAGATTGATTTAGATTCATTTTTATTTGGTCGGTTTAGTTCAGATTTTTGGATTCGATTTATTTGCTCAGTCCTAGTTTACACTAAATAATCCCTTATATACTAATCCTAACAAATCAAAATTTAACACATGGAAAATGTTTGGAAATAACTAAACACTACTGATAAAAATTTTTTCCTTCAAACCCTAATTTTCAGCAACTCCCTCCTAAATTTTCTGAAATATCATTATTAAAAAAACATAATATAACTCGATAATATTTTTTTTTCTTTTTTTAAAAGATACTGAATATAAAATAATGTAATCATATTGGTTGGTGAACCTAGAGGTTTACCCTCTCCCTAGAGGGTGAACCTAAAAATTTCTCTTGTTCTTATATATATTTTCGCTTTACTAATTTTCTGTATGTTTTGTATTTTCTTCATTAGCAAAGAAGGAAACATGTCATTCTGATTGGCAATTATGACACTGAAAGAATAATTTATTTTTTGATTAATGACAATAATTTTTAAAATAGTATAAGTTGAGCCGTGCTTAGCTGGCTGGTAATCAGGGACGGATCTAGAAATATTTTGAATCAGGGGCACAATATTAAAAACAGCAAAAAAACTTATTTTGATGGGGGTACATTGATGTTCAAAAAAAAAAAAGATGGGAGCACATTTTCAGTTTTCTTCTATAACCTAACAATATTTAGTTAAATTAATTCATGCTACTTAAGAAAAATTAAAATCAGTAGGGGGCTGACCCCCTACCGTCGTATGTGCGTCCGCGTCCTCCCCTGGTGGTAATACTAGTAAAAGTAAAAAAAATCACCAAGTACATTTTCCTTTGAATAAGTTTATATCTTTCTTTGTAACGTAATAAGTTTATATCTACTCTACTAAAATAGAGTTATAAGAAAATATATTGTACAAAAGTCATAATAGCACCATCTCATTAATTGGTTAGCATTATTTTGATTGTTTACATTAATCAATCAAATATACAAAGATTTTAAGAAAATTGGCAAAATACTTTTTTTCTAAAAAAATAATCATCCATTTGCAATTGAAATACATATATAATTTCAGATTCTTCTATCTTATTAAAAAGAAGCATATTATATATAACTAACTATGTGTTTTCCTGCATCATGTGCAGTAATAATTTTTTAAAAAAGTTAAATGATATTTAAAATGAAATTTATTAATGCTATATATAGTAAATTTTCTAATGTATACATTTTAAAAATATTAGTAATAAAAATTGGATAATTATAAAATTGAAATTAAATAAAATTTAGAAATTTATAATGCATATTTCAATATATTTAATTTTATTTGATGATTTGATTTATGAATTATTACCATATTTTAAGAAGTTTGTCAAAAATATAAATCAACATTAAATGCAATGTATCAGTTATTATCATATTTTAAAAACTTACCAAAAATATATATTAACATTAAATGTAAATGTACATGTCACAATTAACTCAAAGTTATGTTATGGATATGTCGTTACTTTTTGGTGAAATTGATTGTGGTGATGACACAATAAAATCACTTCGCAAATAATATATAATGGATATTTAGTTCATGTGTTATTTCCAAAACATTTCATTAGAAATCTTTGAAAAATTATAATTCATAAAGATATTAGTAATATATTCATAAACACAACAAAACCTAAGGAAAGATCACTGAGAAAAGATAAAATGCATACACACCCAAAAAGACCTCACAATACAAAAATGTGTGCATAAAGAATGCTAAATTGTAGACCAATATTAACCAAGAGTTCTTGGTCTATTGGTAATGGAACTTCAACTGGAGTGTCCGTTCTGAGTTTGAGTCGCCTTGGCCACCTTCCCGCCTATAACCGTGCATGTCCGGGTGGAAGATTTTGTGGAGATTAGTCTGGATTTACCGTCTGAGACCCCATGGATACCAAAAAAAAATTGTAGACCAATCTCACTCTCACTTAACACAGGGACACAGGCATGAACTAGATCAAAACTAAGCTCATTCTTAATCTGCCTCTGCAAAGCCGTCTCACATCGTCTAATTTTACTCTGAGTTGTGTATGAATTTCATTTTACTCTGAGTTGTGTATGAATTTCATTCAGGAATACATTTGTTTTTCCTTTGACATAATGATTCGTTTCTCAGTTGGCTTATTATGGCGGATGAGCTTTGTAACTTTTTTTATGGGTTTTTTCGTGGTATATAAATGGATACGTCTTTTCTTCATTTTATTGTGTTGTGTCTTTAACAAAATGGACATGCATAGCTTCATTAGAATGGAGTCTTTTTCTGAAGTCAATTCTACCTGGACAGAGTTAAGTCTTGTGCATAGCAAAAGGTTAATTACACAAGACAAGCATATCAAAAGAAACAGAATCTGAAAGCACAATATGTATCTCAACTTAAGAGCTAGTAACACAACATTTATCTTTTGTCTGCAAATAACAAGCATTCATAAACAATAGTCTGCAAGCATAAGAGTACATAAAAGGGCAAAACCACACATTCTGCAAACGGTATTTTCAAGTCTATAAACCATAAACACTTCAACGTCTTGTTGTTCTTCTTTCTTTAAAGAACCTCTCCCTGATTAAGATCAACTCTTTTGTAGCTTCACTCACTTCCATCCGGTTCGTCGGAGATTCTTCACAGCACCTAAGTCCCACCTCCAAAACCTGTATCAAGCACCCAGAAATTGGGAAACCGACTCTGAGACCATTTTGAAAAATCGATTTGTCTACAACGTCCAATACTCTCTCTGGCAACGCAGATTTGATGTAGCTGTGGAGTGTAAAGTTTCCACCAAATAACTCATCAGTTGGTCGTTTTCCAGTGAACATT